CAGTGTTTTCAACTAGTTTCATTGCTGTCTGGATTTTATCACTGCAACCTGCCGAAATCTTACAATGGGATCAAACGAGCACGGCCAATTTTACAGGTTCTTATAGGGGGCTTAAAAATTTTTAAAAGTAATTTCGACATCGTCTACAGATAGCCTAACTAAATTTAGTATAAATACTGTTTCAAATATTTTTTTGCTATGAAAATTTTCATTAGAACGGAATGATAGGATACCTCTAAAATTCAAGTTCTCATTGCGATTTCTGCGATTAGTTGAGCCAAAGATCTTTCACGTGCAGCAATCCAATATTTTCCCCTTCTGTCTTCTAGAAATTTAATGAAGATAGTGTGCTTCCTGAATTTGAAAATGGCTCGAGGTAGCGCTTTGAAAAGGAAGGAAGAAACTCCAAAAATTTTAAAGTGCTTTTGAAACTAAATTATGCATTGTGAGGCAGATTTAGAACGGTAATTCCGAGTTTATCAAATAAATAAGGTCTAGCTCAGTCATCTTTTTCATCATTTCACATTCAAAAAAGGAGTACGATATAAGTTATCTGCAGAGCCGAGTTAGCTACCTTAATCTCGGGTGGATAAGCAGCACTACAAATGAGTTTTTCCTGCTTTACGTAATCTTTGGTAATAGTAGTATTTATACTTGCATCTTCGAATGAATTATGTCCCATTGCTCGATAAAAACTTGCACTAGAAGGGACACCGCCATTGAGAGGTAATCTGCTTATCTAGTCGAAGTTATGGTTAATAAGGCTTTTTGCATCTCTAGGCATGTCGTCATTGATAGTAAGTTTAAGATTGAAAAAGTTACGCGCATAAATCTTGCTCTAACTAGTAGCATATAAGTAGCATTAAAGCCAACGATTCGAGAAAAATGTGCTCCTATTCGTTACCTTGTTCATCCGGATATAAGACGGCTCAAATATATGGTTGCGCGTGAGGGGTCAGTGTGACCGGGGTAAAATAGATTTGTTTGTTGAATTTCAATTGTTGGATGAGGATGTGATCTGACTTACATTTATTAAATAAACTTTTTTTAAAAGATAAATATAGAAAGGGAGGGAATCTTTTTTTCTTTTAAAGAGTGTTTCACATTTTTTGCGACGCTGCTTGCTCAAAAAATGCGCTGGTTTTTGTTTAAGGTCACAATTTCGGGCACACGCAAGATTCAGAATAAGTTTAAACCTAGTCTAGCGCATTGTGTTCCGATTCTTTCTGCCTAAGTTTGACGAAGTTCTCAAAATTTTTCATTAAAACTAACATGTTTCTGATTACAATGTACATACATCGTCAGATTCTTAGAACTCTGTCAAATGTTAAGAAATACCTAGAAAGGACAAAATACCAATTTTGCTACCATCAACCGGAAAGTTTTTTCAGCTCATTGAATCCTGGTAATATTAGTTTACGATCAGTAATTGAGTGCATACGGATTCAAAAATGGATTGCAATAAATAAATTTCTTC